ATCGCGTTTACTGAGAAATTGTGAAACTTAAAAACGATCGGTCCAATTTACACCTAGGAATATTCTAATCTGCATAGAGCTCGAGGTATTCCAGTAATTTACTCTTTATAGTTTGGACGGGTTTTCTCCCCAAGCAAGTGTCCAGTGTCTTAATGATTCTGTCTATCAATACTGTTTAAGCAATAATAGACTGTATTTCTATAAGTTAAAAGCTTAATTCAGCTCCCGACGAGATGACAACGAATTCGTTTGTTAAAGTCTAAAGGAAGTGAGGGAAGTGAAATAGCCCCGATTCTCATTGAAATTGCGACTTAAGTTTATGTGTAAAAACTTCTTTGAGTTTAGTGTAATAATGTTAAATAGATTATCAAATAAATTTATAGCTTTATAAATATTATTTGAGGAGTTTCCTGCTACTTAACCTCGGCACAAGGTCAAAAGGCGTAGGACTTTAATAAAGGTATCGTAAATTATCTGAATAAAAATTATTTATCTCATAGTTAAGTTATTTTTGACGTTAATGGTCTTAAACTTAGAAAATAATGTAATGTTGAATTGACATTTAAAAATATAGAAGATATAAATTGCGTGTGGCTGAAGGGGCCAGGGGGAAAGGCTGATAAAGATATAAATATAATACAAACTAACAATAATATGATATTGAAATATTATGCAGTTGATAAAATAATCACATTTGTTCTTTCTGTTCGTTACCTATTAGGTGATTTAATTTATTTTTAATCGTTAGAATATCCTTATTAAATAAAAAAAATACAGTTTAAAATTAATTAATAAAAAAAAATATGACAACATATCATGAACTGATTATTAATTCATAATTATATTGTTAGATATATAAGGTCAGTTGTTTGTTAACACAATTATAATATTTGAGATTGAGATTTTAGAGGTAACGTTATACTTTTGTACTTGTTGTTGATAAAAAATATATTTTAGCTTTGATATATTAAATTACCCCGTATTTATTTAGCTTTTAGGACTTTTTGGTTCGCAATTACTTTAGTTCGTCTCTAAGTGATAAACGAAGAGCCGGTTTTAGAAAAAATTACGTAATTTTCTTTAAATATCAAAATAATATCTTGAATATTTTAGGACTTAGGTGCTTATTAAAACGGTATTTTAAGAAATTTTACCCGAAGGGGGTAAATTAGGAGGTGAAAGTTTTTATAGAATTTTCTTATTTTTGGACTTAAAGCTAGATAACGCAAGCCGCTGGCGGAAGGCTAGTAATTAAATAAATATATTCTATATTATTAATATATTTACTTACTATTTGTATGCAACATAACGTAACCAATTACATAAAGACCTTGTCCTTCATCGGCAGCGACGTATTATCTATGAAAGCTAAACCAATAAAGATCTTATCAACATCTAATTATATCCTTCATAGCGTAAATTCAGAGTTCTTATAATCCCGCCTTCCTTTCCTCTAACCTTCCTCGTTCACAAGCCGCATTCATTCGTGGCGGGATGCGTTGCGAAATGTACCGAAATACCACGAGCTTTTTTAAGTGCCGGTCAAGGACTCCACCGTAGCGGGCAAAGCGATTCTGAACTTTCGCCTAATGATCGAATCGAAAACGAATGCAAATTCGATTGTAATGTAACCTTTTATGAATTCGCTTGGCATCCTAATAAATCTATACAGAGTATGAAACAATTTAGCTCGATGGCGCATTGGTTAGCACGCTCGTTCTGCGATACGGTTGTTAAGCTTCTTTCGTAATGGACAGTCATAGGATGTTTGACCAATAATTTATTTTCTATTCTCCATACTTCTGAAGGCACGTTATTCTGTTGCTACATTTGCAGTCGTTAATGCCATTGGTAATGGCCCATTCACCATATTCGGTTTGATTCGTTTCCATCTATAAGGCCTTCCCTGAGCTCTAGCAGTGGGAACATTAAGGCTGGTGATGATGATAAAACATAACCGCAACCCGCTGCCTACACGCTGAGATTTTTAAATTAAAAAAAAATTAAAATAATAATAACATAAGACAATCAACATCCTATATCTATAAAAATGTTACTTCAAAAGCCCATTTATTTTTATAATAGCCATTAAACACGTTTCCATTGTAGTAAGTGAATACAACCACACTAAAAAACATCCAGCCCAAGTTAGACGCGGGTAAGGGGTTCGTGGCTGGCGGATTCTGCCGGTCGCTACGCGTCCTAATCGACGTTTCTACATTCGGAAATATGTTATGAAAGTATCCTGGATACAAAAAAGGAGAACGGGAAATAACCCAACACGTAGGTCCAGTGCGAAATTATGGTTATTAATGACTACAGATACAGTCAACAGCTCAAGATAATACATTTTCGGTCACCCATCCCACGGCCGGCCCTTTCGAAATCTGCTGAATCTCCGCATTGCAGACTGAAAGCTTAAAGTTAATCAAGCAGTTGATTAATTTCAATATAATTATTTAAAACCTTCACTTCCACTTCGCGTTCGCATGTGATGAGAGTAGGTCGATAGTATTTTGATTTCCTTTTACTTTCCTAATATGGTGTGATTATTGTAAGCTGCTTTAAATTAATTTCAATAAGAGACGCCACATCAAATTGTTTTTAATGATAAATAATAAAACTGGAGAAGCATTGGATTCTTCTTTAATACTTTATAATAAATCTATGCGCTACAATACACTTATTGCTATAAATATTGATCATAAAATTGGTGAAATAATAAAACTTTGATTCTAAATTAAAACACAAATACAGGATTCAATTACTTTTCAAATCATATTTTATATTATTACTAGAGATAGTTTGGTAACATAATATTATTAAATCGCATTCCGGAATGTCAATTGAATGAACGCAATTAAATTCGGACGTAATACAAAAATAATAATGTTCGCAGTAGGAAATCTATTTAAAGGGTTTTATTAATAAATAGCAAGATGGACAATTAAAAATCAAGTTTGGTTTCATAAAAACTTGTTTACCGAATAACTACTTAATATTAATTAATTCTTTACATTATATAATGAAATATAAATGAAAAAAAAAGCATATTTACTGTCCAATGTTATCATTTTCCATGAGACTATTATTCCAAGATCTAAATCAGACATCATTTATCTTCTGATAGACAAAATATTTTGGGTAGGCTAGTGGTAGTAGTATCTATACACTTGCTCGTATGAATTAACATGATAATGGCAGGACTATTCTATGTGTCCTCGAACGAATATTCGGAAAATTTCGAATCGTTATAAAAATATATTCGAGCCCCAAGTACCATACCATATCTTTTTTTTTGTTAAAGATATTTATCGTTCTTATGATTTTGTTAAAATCATATTTGTGGAGATTATCTGTGTGTCATAAACAGTGTCATGTTCAAAAGCTGTTGTAAAAAAAACTAAAAATATGTTTTTTCGGGGTTGTATTAGCATCTCGATAATAGACGGAACTTTCGGAAAAATGGAATAGTCTTTTAGGTGTCATATTCATTCGTACGAGCTTATTTATACTTAAATCGTATCTGCTAGTTCGGCCCGACGACCAATTTACATCAGGTAATAAATGAAATGGAAAACATTGCTCGCCTTTTTAAATTCTAATACCTGATTATTGAGTTGGAGGTTGTTGTCAAAAATCAGTCACTACTTCCAGTTACTTCCCTTCTCTTGAAGACACTATAACTCCATCATCCCATTCGCAAATCAATCCTATTAATATTATAAAGGCGAAAGTTTGTAAGTATGGATGTATGGATGTTTGTTACTCTTTCACGAAAAAACTACTGGACGGATTTGGATAAAACTTTACAGCAATATAGGTTATACATCAGAATAACACATAGGGTACTTTTTACTGGGAAAACTTCTCACTCCCACGGGATACCGACTTCCACGCGGACGAAGTCGCGGGCGTCCACTAGTATTACTATATGGATTTGCCGATGGGATGTAAAACTTTCTCTAGCAACAGGTATAATTATTTATTTTATTTCTCCACATAAAGATGTAAAACATAGCCAGTTGTGTATTACTACAACAAATGTGATTAAATTGTTTATTTATGATCCTGCAAGCTCGAAAGTAGCACTTAATACCAACTCTAATTCAAAGCAATTTACTGCTAATGAAATTTTGAAGTATCCATAATCATTGCATTTGGAACAACGCATTGGAATCAGGTGTTGTTTTTTTATAAACTAGAATGGTTACTTTTATTTTTAGGGTTCCGTAGCTAAGCAAAAACGGGACCCTACTACTAAGACCCCGCTGTATATTCGTCTGTTTGTCCATGTGTCTGTCAACAGACTGTTTCAGGAAAGATAGACGGTTGAAATTTGTCAGATTCTGTATATCTGTTGCCGCTATAGCAATTATTATAAAAATAATATTTAAGGAGACTTCCGTATAACTCGAGAGTATAAAGTTTACGGAATTCTCCTTAAATATAATATTATATTTATAATAATTTTTACAACATAGTCGGACTCGCGTAGAAAGTATGAGAGTCTAACTAAAGGTACAGACCCAAAACGTACTATACTATATTACTATATGTAATTTTATATGTATATGTAATTTTCGGGATTGGAAAAACAATTTTCTTCAAAAATTACTATTTATGTAATCAATTTATTCTCGTTATTACTCTTTCACTAGAAAGGAAAGTAATAAGTCAGCTTCCTAATTATTTTTTTTACAATAAGTTCAATGATTTGTAATTAAATAAATAAATAAGTATAAGACAACACTACATACTCATACATTGCTCAGATTTCAAGATGAGTCACTAAAGTAACATAAAAATGTTCATTTTCTCCATTGACCCGACCGGGATTCTAAACTGGGACCAGACAGAGACACTTTGAAATCATACAAACCACTCGAAGGTCGTTTATAATTAAAAATTATCAATGAATAAACAATAAGCATTGATTGATATATTCTTAGTATACATAAATAAATCGTTCGACTAACGTTATTATTTGTTTGTTTCAGAGTTTCCTCGCTGCGAACGCAAAATGTTGGTGGGCGGGCGCATTAGCGGCAGCTACGGCGGAGCTCAGGTACGCGGGATACGTGTCCCCCGGGGTGCTGCTGGTAGCGGGGGCGCCCCGCGCGCTTGAGACCGTGCGGGGCGCGTACGCCCGCTCTGTACTCAAGCCACCCGCCACCTACCTCATATGTGGTCTAGGTCAGTATTAGATTATAAACTAGTTTTATGCCATCAATTTTACTAACGAAGATCCTAGGGCACAGTAGATTAAAAAGTACCCTATATATTATTTAGGCTTAGAATTATCCGTAGAGCAAATTTCATCAAAATCCGTTCAATAGTTTTAGCGTAAAAAATTATGAAACATACATTCTCATATATTTTCGTATTTATAATATTAGTAGGACTAGAAAAATAGAATAGGACTGGAATAGTACTAAATAGCTACTACTAGTGAGTGTTGTAATTATCTAAAAGTTACTTTGACTAATGTAACAGATTTGCAAGAAGCTTTATCTTTTCCGTCCTCTTGAATGGCGTAGAATCCTGAACACTAATCATATGCATCTCTGGTACACTCATAATTTTAATTTCAGAAGCTATGTGTAACAACGACCTTCTTACACATAGCTATGTTATATGAAGCAATAAAGTATAAATTTATTTATTGCCTCAAAACGTAAATCCTATTAAAAAAAATAATATCAGCATCAATGAAGCAAGTATGTAACGATTCAGCATAATATATTGCAAATCGATAACAGAACTGCTGATACATATTAAGAATGGCTATCCTCGACGGAGCCGGTTGCACATGCAAATCACCTGTCGTATGTGTGTCATTGTGACTTGCGATAAATTGATCTTATATTGCTATTATTATAAAGTTTACTAACATTTGAATAAGCACACAAAGAGTTACTTATCAAAAAGGATATATCAATAAAATTAGATGTGTGCAAAAAAACAAACAATTATAGGGTTGACACTAAATGCTTACAATTAATAAATTTTTTAATTAAGTAATTTTTTAATAGTAGGTATTTGTAAAAATCACTATTACAAATACCTACTATTCAGGTACTAAATCATCAAAGATTGGGTCCTGGAAAATGTATTAAAGAATTATACTTATCTGTCAAAGCAGGGTTCGCAAAAATACGATATTTATAATAAATAAAAAATATCCGATGTTTGATATTTATCCGATATGTGAGAAGCTGAGATTTTTGAGCTGCCAGTGGCTTTATTTAATATGTGATCTTTTAAATCAAAAGTGTAAAATAAAAAATTTGTTTGAGTTATTTAATATTTGTATATTTATTATGAAATAATCAAAAAGTAGTATGCGAGCGAGGATTTTCAGTAACGTATAGGGGAAATCCCGATATTTCTAGTAAGTAAGATTGCTACTTCGGGCCAATGTTGCTAGCGTCACATTGGGTTGGTTAATTTTCTAGCTGATACTGAATCTTATTGAAATAAACAATTATGATTAGATTCTATAATTAAACACTACAGATCCCATACCACCCAAGTATTAACATAACTTTACCATAAGTACGGTATTAATTCAAATAGATATGCATGTAATAACTAAGTACCACACCTCCACTTATAAGGATGCTTGTGCAAAACAGCAGATGGCGCATAAATTTAAATAAATGAATATTCATTATACAACATAACATTAATGGACCTTTAAATTTACTTTAAATAGATATCACGTTACGAACTTCAGCCCGTAACGATGCATCCAATTCATTTATCTTAATAAGAATCGTATATCGAATCGCATTTTAAAGGTTGCTATTGCCATATATAAGTGTAAATTTACACGGAATTTTAATACCCTTATGCGGGTTTAATTGTGTTTAAGCAAAACAATGCAAGACCGGTTTTATTATTATCGCTTCCCGTAGAATACAAACGCACGACTCCTACGCTGTCGGATCGTACGCAGCCTTGCAAGGACGAATGCTTATGTAACTGTACAATTGTACTAATGAGGTGCAATTTAAAGAGATCTATACATCTACATAAACTTGTGCATATAAGCAATAAGGGTCGATAATTTGGTTTATTTCTTAGTTGATTATTCGCGTATAAATGTAATTAAAATCAATTAAAAAGTTATAGGAATCCTCGTTTTTACCCTTGCTCTCCCAATTAGTAAAGAAAATCTAATATTAATCATATTTCTTATAAAACAAAATAAAGAAAAGGTTGGCTGTAAGAAATCGCTGATAAGGCCGCCTATTGAGCAAATGATTTTCTGTTTCTACCTCATTCTTTATTTACCTCTGTTTAGTTTTGTATAATAAAGTGTTTTTATTTTATATTACATTAAAATATATATATTTTCAGGTTCCTTTATATTGCGAGAAAAAAATAGGTATGTCTGAGGAAAGGTTTGAAACAAAAACATTCTTAAGCTTTTGTACAAAACTGATTATCATTTTCCTCTAAGACGTGTATCTTTCATTATTCATTTGTCTTCGAACAAAAAAACCCGATATTCCAACTTCGAGAATAATTTCCTTAGCTGTCCTGTTCTAACTTACATATTTTTTATGCAGTAAAGTAGGGCAAAGTACAATAAAGTCGCACTGAGGCTATGTTATGTTAGTTAAATTTAACTGTGTGCTTTGAACTATTGACATTATCCAGTAATCTGTCAATAAGTGTTAGCTGCAGGCGACACTTGCTTTGCTAAGCGGATTATGTATTATGATTTATGGACATATTATTATTTAATTAAAACCGGATACACCTTTTGTTTGTCTACAATAGGGCTAGTACAAGCGCAAAGTTAAGATGTAAAATATTACAGCATTAAAATTTAAAGGTTATAAAACAATAACACAATGTAAGACAAAATCAACAGAATATTCAAAGATAGACAGAGACAAAAGAAGGCGCATTATACGAAATACATAAGCTTTCCTTGCTCTACAAAGTCATTTAAATATTTATATATTTCCTGAATTAATTGAGCAAATATTGAATATTATTGGTGAATTCTCTAGTGAATAGTTTATAAATTTATTTTTTGCGTATAATACATGCTGATTTTTATATTTTTGACAGATTTTGTTTAGGTGCTTTAACGCATCAAAAAACTTTCATTTAAATGAATTTAACTAAACAGTCAGTACTATTTCAAGTTTGTCAGAAAAGAATTTAATAATGTAATTAATGCAGTGACAACCCTAATAGCTACTTTCAGACATCTGACATTTAAACTGATTGTTGCATACAAACTGAATGAAGTCAATTATGTCATTAGTTTTTACATAATATATAATATTTCCTTTTGTAAGTTGACTTTATGTTAACCTTATTTTATTTAGGTGACAATAATAAAGAATATAGCCATTTCTTCCTTAAATGTTTTTTTTTCTATACATTTTAAAGAGACATGCTATTTACATAGATTGCTTGAACATTGATAGAAATGCGTTCATTGGTTAATCTCGCTTGGATCCCGGTTCAGTGTTTAGAGCAGTCTTCTAAAAGTTATGGATTCGGAAACCGTATCGGGCACCCGGGACTGGTATTATCTCTAATTTGTGACAGAAATATAGCATTATGAATGCGACAAAAATATCAAACAATAATTATTTCTATTTATAATTTATTAGCTCTTTCCCGCGACTTCGCCCGCGTAAATGTTTTTCGCGTATGATATAGTAATATTTAAAATTGATGCAATTGTTTCGTAGCTCACTTGAAAAAACAAAGAAACAAATCTTTCTTCTTTACAATATTTATTTATTTTTGTTTTATTTTCATAGAAGAATCAACTGTTACCTAAACAAAGATGTAAACAAATATAAAGCATATAACCAGTTACAGATTTACACATGAAGTAAATTAATTAACCACACAAAAAAAAATATCATATAATCAAAAAAATAACAATAGAAGTCCTTCCGATCAAGTGATAAGTTTCACTATATTAGTATACATAATGCTATGTAAATAAATTTACATAAATTAATTCAGTGTGACATAATTAGGTCTTAATAAGGCAGTATTATAATATATTGTACATACTAAGTATTGTTATTGTTACTATAGTTTATATATGCGATATGTGGTATAATTAGCGTAACAAATAAGGAATCTATGCTCTTGAATTAGAGTTTATATTTCTATATAACAATAAACATCCTTCTATTGTCTTAACTTGATGGATTTAATGATGACATTGAAGTTTGAATATTTCTATACAAGGTTGACAATGTCAATGTCAGTTTAGAAATGCTAAGTAGTTGTCACACTTCAGCGGTAACTTATATGTCTCGTTACGTAAATATGTCATATATCGATTGATTAGAATAACAAGTATCATGTACTTTTATTAATATTTAAGTAACAGAGTGGTTCACCGGTTTTAAGATGACCATATCCCTAGAATTTGGGTTCTATTCCAGCACGCGTAGCATGACAAACTCGAGAAACGCTTTGTCTACACTCATCTGTCAGTTTCTCGGGTCGAGAGTGAGTATCGTATGGGCGCACTCGAGAAAAGTGACATTTGAGTGTAGACAAAACGTTCTCGAGTTCGTCATGCTACGCGTACTGGTCGGATCAATTTACAAACTTTACTTGCGTTCCGATGCACGGAGTAGCTCGAGATAATAATTTTTTGTTCACCCATCATGTGACCGACTTTTGCGAAAGATGCTTAAGAGGCTGAGGACACTGAATGATTTTTAGAAATCGACACGCCCCCTTACATAATTACAGGTGTCTACGCTAGTGTGGGTTAGCTCATTGCACGTTCCTCAGAAGAATAACAAATGCCTATCGGTTCAGCGCCAGCAGATAAACTTTGTACTAATAACAATGACGTTTTATAACCATCAAGTGCTTTGAGTTAGCTGTCTAAAGTGCTTACACAATAGGTGGCGCTGAATTTTTTTAAAAGAAAGGAATAATTTCTTTTTATTCCAGATTTTTATGGGGCTTAGAAAGGACAAGTATGTTTTTTCTTTTTGGGTCGACAAAATAACATGCTATTATTTTGTCTGTTTCATATTTCAGAATTTTATTCTAATTCATTGATATTTTAAAAAATGCTTTGCATTGAATATAGAAAAGATTTAAAATTTAAAGAAATATGAAATAACTATATAAAATCACTTATGATACCACACATCACATCACATTTCTTCACTCGATTTTAAAAC